CGCCTGTCCGAAACAGGTCAGGACGGTAAAGATCCGACAGCCTGTCACGCCGTTGCTGTACCCCGGGACTCGAAATAACGGACCTATCGATAGCCAGCTTCCGATCCAAAGAGGAGCACGTTACACAAAACAAACGCAGCCACACGAGGAAGCAGCGTGGTTAAGCGACGAAAAACACAACGGTGCAACATCGGTTACAACAGATTCTTGAGGTACAAGCACGTTGTTGTCATTCAATAGTTCGCAAGTGATGTAACACGTCCAACCATCATCCATTATACCATTACAGTACAATTACCATCGCAAGTCGCTAAGCGAGGGTTACATGCGCAATCCAAAAAGAACGAGCGGGCAGAAGCCCCCGAGATCTCAACAAAGTCCGCCATGCAAAGGTTGTGTAGCGCTGAGAAAACGCTGTTACCATCGACGGGTATAGAACATTGACGACCAAAAAAAGCTTGTGTCTGTCAAACAAAAGTGGGTTCCGGTCGGTTGGGGACCGGAAAAGTATACTAAGACAATATTGAAGGGTGAAAGTAAAAGTGTAGTATGCGTAGGATCGTGAGGCCCATGTAAATGCGGGAGCTGGGTAAAACGCCGAAGATGTAAAAAGGTTGTCCCAAAGACGATACGGTGGTATCGAGGATTTTGTCGAAGAGAAGGTATTATGTATAGCTGTTGAGTCCAGCGGGTGTCGGTACGATCATTATGCGGTCGTGGCCATTAGAGCCTTGACCTTTTCGCGTTCGGCGACGATCTCGGCTTGCAGTTTGCGTGTCTGCCTCATAGCCTCATCCCTGGAAACATGTTAGTACGCACTTGATATTTGATGATTTGGATTGACATACCTCTCGAATTGCAGGTCAGCGACCTCCATCTGAGCAGTGTTCATGCGGCCAACGACTTCCTCCATCTCGTGATCGGCATCGCGAAGAGCCCTCTCGAGCTCCTCTACGCGCTTCTCGAGCGACTCGGTCTTGGTGGCTTCAGCTAGGCTCATGGCGGGTCCACTTGAAGTTACGTCAAGACGAGGAGACCGTTGCGAGAAGACAGGGGACGATGGAAGCCTGGGGGAGAACGCCGAAGGACTGAGGAGTCCAGACTTGACACGGCGCAGGTGGTTGGTGTGGCTCTCCTTGATAGCCTGAACCTCGTCTTCGTGGCGCGCGACAGCGTCTTCTGAAGACTGTTGGGCGAGCATGACCTTGTCTTCTGCTGCCTTGAGCCTCTTCTCCAGCTGGATAATTTGCTCCGTTGACCTGCGTTGGTCCTGTTCACCGCGCATGATCGCGTCAGTAAGACGTTTGCGCAGAGCGCTGTTAGCAGTGAGTTGCTGCTGGATCTTAGCAGAGAGCTCGTCCATGCGGGTGGCTGCAGCGAACAGCTCCTTGCTAAGCTCTTGTTCTCTGCCCAAGTGTTCGATCTCGGACTGTTGAAGGGCACGAGCCTGTTTGCGGTACTGCTCGGCTTCGTTCTGCGCATAATCGCGCTCTGCCTCTGCATCGGAAATGCTCTGTTTCAAGAGGTCCAGAGTTCGTTCAGCTTCGGCACCGGCAGCACCGAGTGCATCTCCGTCGCTCGACTCAAGTTGCTTGACGCGAGCAAGCGAGAGGGCATGAGTAGTTCGTAGCTCGTTGTAGGCCTTGTCCAAGGCCAAAGGTTCGTTTTCTATCCGGATCTCGGGTATCGAGATGTCGTGTTCTCTGAGCAGCTCGCGAAGGGAACCAGTTTCTTGCTGTGCACGATCCAGGTCCATTCGCAGTCCACCAAGACCCTTCTCGCATTGCCACTTCTGTTCAAGTGCTTCGTCGGCTCGGCGGCGTAGAGAGTTGACTTCCTGTCTGAGGACTGTAACCTCTTTGTGGAACGCAGTCCGGCGAGGAGTGAGGTTCAGAGCAGCGTCCCTCTCAGCCTCTACCTCTTTGATGCGGCGCGCGAATTCCTTCTGCTGCAGCTCTTGCCGTTGCAAGATGTGTTTTAATGCCTTGTGGAGTGCATCTCGTTGCTCTTCCAGCTCCTTCATCGGGTTGCTGACTGTCGGTGCACCGACTGGTGATACATCACCCGATCTGTCCTTCACGGAGTTGGAACGTGACAATGAACCTCGTTTCGAGTTGAGGCCAGCGGAGCTACGGGCTAGCGAGTTCGAGCGGGTGAGACCAACTCGTAGGTTAGGTAGAGGTCCGAGGTCTCCTTCCTCTTGGATAGACTGGACCCGGGACTGTTGTGGTGCTTGTTGTTGCATCATCCTTTGCTTGACAAGCGACTCGTTCTCGGATTTAAGTTGTTGAATCTCCTGTTGCATACGAGTGGTTTCGTACACGAGCTTTTCTGTGTCGGCAGCATCTCCTTCGAGCACTTCAAGCCGCGCCCGGAGTTGCGGTACCACTTCGTCGCGCAGGTTGTCGGCCTCGTTGCGATGTTTCTCCAATTCGTCGCGAAGTGCTGTGAGGAGGTCTTCAAAGTTTTCCTTGACCTGCCTTTCTTCAGCCAAGCGCCTCTTCGCATCCTCGAGAGACATGGAGAGCTCTTTGACTTTGGGTGTCTCAACGACTGAGCCTGCCCTTGACTTGTCGCCGACCTGGTCTTCGAGTTGTTGCACTTGCTCCTCTAGATCTCTTCGGCGTCGCAGCTCATCTTGCAAGCGTTCTGCCATTTGCATTTTTATTGTTGCACGCGCCTGTTCTGCCTTCCTTCGTTGCATCTCGACCTCTTCGAGCTTGCTTTCGGGATCGCTGATTGGGAAGCGGATAGAGCTTGTGCCAGAATCCGAGTAGTAGTCGCTAGTCCTACGATTGTCAGACATGGCAGTGGAACTCTCTGCCTTCCACCGCTCGACCTCGTCTTCTAGCTCCATCTCTCTTTGTATCGAGGCAGCAAGCTCGGAGCTGACCTCGCGCAACTCGCGCTCCAGCTCTTCTACGTGAGCGTTCATCTGGGGTGATGACGATAGAAGTGGAGTCCCGGGGACAGTAAAGTACGAGCCGAGCGAATTGGCGGCCGGAATGTCTAGGCCGTTAGGTTTTGACTTCGAGCCCATGCCAGGTTGTCTGTAGCGTGGAGAGTCGGGTGATGAGTGTTCTGAGAAGGCGGTGGCTGGCGACGCGGGCTCGTTTTGGGGACGCGAGTTCCAGCCAAAGAAAGAGGTGAATCCTCCGCCGCTGGGTGATTTGGGCTTTGTGTTTTGGCGTGTAAGTGAAGGGTCCTCGGGACCGTAGTTGTAGTCGTCCATGAAATCTTCCGTGACGCCGTTCAAGTCGAGTTTGAGGTCTGGCGGCGGTTGCGATGTGGTGTTGTACACTGGCATGTTCGGCATGGTAGGGGATCGGGCGTGTGCTCCCCGGATGCCAAAGGCCTTCAGCGCCTCGGTCTTGCTCTGTCGTTGGAGTTGGATGCCGCTGGCCGATCGATCATGCCGCGCGGCAGACGGTGCCGTTGGAGCGGTCGGGGGTTCTCGCGTTGCGACAAAGAGCGAGCTCCCACGATCACGTTCTGAGAATTGGCGGGGTGCGGTTGCCGTCAGAGGGGTCCTTCCATGTGGGTTGCTGGTGGTGTTGTTAGCGAAGTGTCGATGAAAGGAAGGCGCGATGCAAAAGGAAAGCGCGTGTCGGCACTTACTCGTCGAGGTTCCGGGGCAGGAAGAGGTCTTCGTCAGTGACTGGCGGCGACAGCACGGTGTCGGGGGCGCGTCCTCTTTGAGCAGCGAGATCAACGCTCTTATCAGGTGCAGTAGCAGATGGGATGTTAGATTGTTGATCGACAGTAAAGCGACCAACTACGGGGGAATTCGCGGGAAGGGGCTTTCTGCGGACCGGGGACTGGAGGACGGCGACAGGCACAGGTTGCGAGGACTGGGACCGAAAAGCAGCAAAGGACGAGATGGCAATCGAGGCCAAGGACGAGCCCTTTTGGCGAGGCGGCGAGGCAAAGGCGTTGGGAGCATGTGCGCCCTCGGGGGACGCTTGGACGGCTTGCATATTCTCGTATTATCCCCCCGCGATAGACATGGCGTGCACAAATGATGGGCGCAGAGGGAGGTGGAGAGTCTGCCAAAAGTCGCTTCTTCGTAAAGGGGACCCGCCTAGCTCGCCAGGTACAGCTGCCGGCGAAGGGGGCGCCCAGGGGCCTCTGAGCCGATCGCAGCGCTCGAATTGGTCGATTCGGGCGCTCTACCTGACCGTGATGGGCGGTTCGCGCTGCTCGAGGTGGAGCGAGCCGCGCCAGGGGGCTTTTTAGGGTTAGGATGGCTGCAGGTACACTTTTTACCCAGCCAATGGGCGCCGCGGACTAAGGGGAGGCTCAAGAGGGCGCCTCGTCTGTCGTCGTGGGGAGTGGGTTGCGGAGTGTGATTCGGGGATACGCTCAATTGCAGAGTGGGTGTTGACATCTCAGAGTCGCGCGCTCCGGTCGAGTTGACGTTGACGCCCGCTGCCCAGGTGACGTGCGGAGGCGCCTTTGCCTGCGACGTGAAACACTCCATGAGGCGCTGAACCACCAAGACTCGATCCCAGCCGTCACCATGTGCATAGCGACTGCAACCCTGCCATGTGACACCCGCAACGGGTGGCTTGCAGTGGATTGCATGCGACCTTTATTTTGGCATCGCGCAATTTTCCGACAACCACGGATGTATCCAAATGAGGAAGCCAGCACGCTAAGGGGCAGCTGTACTGGGATGTGGCTGATATTCGCCTGCCGCGAACGACGACAGTGCTCACGACGACGACTCATGACGACCAGTCCAGCCTCTCGGCCTATGCTAACGGCGAGGATCCTTCTTATGGAGGTGACGAGGCCCCTGAGATGCAATCTTAGATTCACAGCCGGCTGCATATCTCGCCGCCTGAATCGCATGTGCTGATGCCTTGACTCTCAGGCATGCTCCCGACTGCCGACGCCGCATGACTATCATGCCATGGCAATTTGACATCTCCACACATACTGCGACATTGCGTGCGTGGTCTGATATTAGTATTTATAATTACTTCAAGGTGGAGCGCTCATCGCCAGCCGCCGACACGGCCTTCATCCCATCGCTCCTTGCGTTCTCCTCGAAGGTAGGCGATCTTTCGGCCCTCCCTCAAGCGCCTCACAAAGTCCGTCACTTCGCGGTCGCTAGCCACGGCATCCCCACCACCGAAACCTTCGCCTTCGAGGAAGCTTTCTTCCAGTCCCCGACATAACGCCTCTTGCTCGCCTACTGAAGCACTCAGCCTCTGATAAAGTGCTGGCGGACTGAACTCTCGCAGTGCCTCATCCTGCTCAGCCTGCTTTGCCTTCCACTGACGCTCCAAAGCCTTAAGTGATAATAAACGCGACTGTGTACTATCTCGTTGGTGCTGGACATGTGCTTCCAACTGTTTGAGTGACTCTGCCAACCCTACATTCTGTGCGAGAAGCGCCTGCAGAGGCGCAATCGATGCAGGTAATGATGGATGTGTTGTCTCGGGATTGTGAATTATAGCATTTTGCAGTTCTGGCGTCTGAAGCACATGATGCAGGTCTTTGGTCCTACTCATACCTTAGTAGTGCGCTTAGCTACGACGTAGAGTTGGCATACGGTTTGTCTTTGAGCACATCAGGCAGCCAGCCATCGTCTGGCGGTTGAACCATCGGTTGTTCGGGACCTGCCTGCGAGTACTGCTGTGTATACGAACTCTGTTGTTGATCTCCCGAATACGATGATTGACCTGGCGGGGGTGGGGGTAATGGAGGTCCCTGTGATGGAGTCGCATTCCCACTTGACCGTCCTGGCTTTGGTGGGGGCGGCGGAGGGGTTGATGCATCGTACTGGTAGAAGTTTTGCGAGTGGCGCGGGGAAGAATAGGCCATGATGAAAGATGAATGGTGAGTGGAGGTAGTGGTTGCATGTGATGCTTACATAGTACCTGGGTAGGTGGTGTTGCGTGTGCTAGCGCGTCATTGGGATTCGATCTAATCTTATCTCATCAAGACCCCTGCACTGAGGCCACAGCAGCATCAACCAACTTTGGGGCACTGTGTAGCTGTGGACACGTCTGGACGCGCCTGCTCATACTTCTGCCTACACAATTCTCTCGCCGCCTTCAAATACCGCCTCGACCTCCATTTCATTCACCACCATCTATCGCAGCTGATCTACAACAAAAATGGCAAGCACTTCCCCACCAACGCGCCCAACCTGATCGTGTCCGCTAACTTGCGACTGCCGCTGTAGGCCAACGTTATAGCGAACTCCGGCCACGATGACATGATTGTACGTTCTCTATAAACATCCGCCTCTATCTTCACCCCACATTCGTACAACACCACCAGCCAGCGCAATGGGCGACAACGACCCACCCCCGACCGATTCTAACGAGGTACAGCATGACGCCGTACTGGATTACTATGGCAGGCGGCTCGCGACGTGTTCTTCGGACAAGACCATCAAGATCTTCGAGGTTGAGGGCGAGAAACATACACTGGTTGAGACCCTGAGAGGGTAGGTCAATCCCGAAGAAGTCATGCTCCTGCGGCACTCGACGCTGACGTTCACAGACATGAGGGCGCCGTTTGGAGCGTAGCATGGGCACACCCAAAATACGGAAACATCCTCGCCTCCTCCTCGTACGACGGCAAGGTCCTCATCTGGCGCGAGCAGTCCGGCAGCTGGCAGAAGATATACGAGGTCGCCCTACACACACAGTCGGTCAACATGGTCGCATGGGCTCCTCACGAGGCAGGCTGCCTCCTTGCCTGCGCATCATCCGACGGCAACGTCTCGGTGCTCGAATTCAAGGACAACAACTGGACACATCAGACCTTCCCTGCTCACGGTAACGGCGTAAACAGTGTTTCTTGGGCACCTGCCTATGCGCCGGGACAGGTCATCAGCGCAAGCGGAAACCAGGCAGGCGCTGCGAAGAGGCTAGTCACCGGCGGAACCGACTGCCAGGTCAAGATCTGGGAGTTCAGCCCCGAGAGCGGCAGCTGGAATGCGACTCCGCTGTAAGTCATGATCGCGAATCGACGATATGGGTCATTGGCTAACAACATTCACTAGTGGTGGTCATGCAGATTGGGTACGCGACGTCGCGTGGTCCCCTACCGTTCTCTCCAAATCGTACATCGCCTCCGCATCCCAGGACAAGACTGTCATTATCTGGACATCATCAGATCTGCGCGAGTGGAAGCGCACCCAGCTTGACGTCGACGCTGCCGCGTGGCGCGTGAGCTGGAGTCTCAGCGGCAATGCGCTCGCAGTCAGCACCGGCGACAACAGGGTCAGTCTATGGAAGGAGAGGCTCAGCGGCGGATGGGAATGCGTCAAGACGATCGAGGAGTAGAACATCTCTATAAAAGACAAAGCAGAGCCTGGGACTTTCTTGCAATACCCCGTACGTCTCGGCCTCAAATTCAGGACCGACCAGTGGCCACCATATGAAGACGACGGGCCGTGGTGTACTGAATACGGGTGTTACCAGTTCATTTACGAACTATATTGATGTAAGAGCATGGCGAGGGCATAGTGTGATGTATAGGTGTAACATGAGCGTAGCCTTCAATTGATTATGAGAATCGTCGTCTTGCTAATCTTTTACGTGAACTTCAACAAGTCTTTTCCAATGGCCTCGCTCAGTACGTAAAGTGACATGCGACGTAGCTACTCAGGACTATGGAGCATGCCAGCACCCAACACATTACACTCACAAAACGAACGTACCAGAGAGACTGCAAGGCCGAGCAGATGCCTTAATCAGATTAAGACGCATGAGTTTGTGCGAGGGCCGGCAAATGATTGCAACAGGAATACGGGGTGCTGCATGTGATTCGTCATGGCCGAGTGGTTAAGGCGCTATGCTCAAGAGATGCCGTTATCGACGGTTTTCTCAGAAGATGCCCGATACGGCATGTGCGAAGGGCGCTAGCTTCAGCCTCATCGCCCAGGTGGAGCTGACATCTAGACCTACATACCTACACTATTCCAACTTCACGAGAACACTGCGCACCCCGATATAGCTTATCATCTTCCTTAGGGGACGATTTCCGCTGCGGCTGTCTCGTACTGAGCTTGTGTCTGTCTTCCGAGCTTCATCGCACCTGCACATTGGTGCCTTGACGCTAGCCTTCTACAGGACAGCTGCCTAACTCCTCACAAACAGCATCCAATCACGACCAACAAGTATCATTCTATAAACCTTGGGAAGGGATATAAATTATGGCGACAGCGGAAGTTTACCAGGAACCGGCTTCCTCTCCCCTTCCTACAACGCCATCACGTCGTCAAATGACTCCAGCTGCTGCGATGTCAAGCACACCGACAACACCAACACCATCTAATCGTGCCAGTCAGACGACCTTCACTCCAGTGCAACTTGAAGCGCGAGCAATTCTCACACATCTCCTCACACGCCTCTCTCAGCTCCCAGCCTCCTTCAACGATAACGACAAACCCCACCCTTACCACAAATACGCCCCTTGGATCTCTCACCACAGCATCTACACTCTCACTCAGTCAATCTACTCCTTCATACGCCCTCAAGTCTGGCATCTCCTCTCCTCCCGCCTCTCTCTCGACGCCCTGAAGCATCTCGGCGGAGATCTGCGTCATGAAGGCCGGGCCATCTACCTCAACGGCATCCTAGGCGTCGACAAAAGATTGAGAATTTACGTGGGTCAGAGTAGTAATCTACGAGTTAGAGTGGCGCAGCATCTGAACTTTAGGTATAGGAGAGATCATCCGAGTCTACATTACTATGCGCTAGAGTGGAGTATCTACAACGTTTTCGGTGTACTAGCTGTGCTTCCTTCGGGTGGACATGGCAGTGCAGTGCCGGGCATGGATCACCCGGACCTCATGATGAATGTATTGGAGATGTGGATGTGTCTTATGTTCCGGACGTCACCCGAGGACACCCTGAAAGAGTGGCTACCAGACGATGTGCTCGTCGATAAGAAGAAGTTGACGGCGAAAGAGGGGATCGTAGGTGGCCTCAATGTAGCAAGTCCACTTGACCAGGGTGTGGAGATGAAAGAGAGGGAATTTGTGGATTTGAGTGAAGAGGACGACCTCATTATTCGGGATTATTTGAAGGACGTACAAAGAAAGAAGGGCGACGGCTTGGTTGGGGAACAGATGAAGGAAAGGAAGACGAAAGATGTTGAAGTGGATGAAGAAGAACGTGCGCTGAGGAAGAAGATGTACGCCGAGAAAGCACGGAGGTACCAGCGGAGAGATACGGATATCGTTGTTCCGCAGTGGGTTTTCCTTGGTGTTATGGCGGTGGGTGTGGGAATTATGCTACTGAGGAGTAGTGGGGGACCGCAGGCTAGAGGAAGCTGGAGATGAGGCGATCAAGGCCTTCTTCCCTCGTTTCCTCGTCTGAGATGAAAGCAACGAAACCAACGTCGATCATGTTAACGTTGGCGGAAAGCCACTACGAGAGCGCCCCGCAAATCACCGACACTGAATAGTCAAGCCCTAAGGTACACGAACAAAGTCGATCGCGAGAAAGGTCTCCAGGTTCGAGCGCGGAAGCCAGCAGAAGCGACCCGTAAGGTTTCGTCCGAACAAGATGCGATCGCTGCGGTAAGCGATCTGTTCCACCAGAAAGCTGGTTACCACCCAACGCGTCGGAACAGGAGACATCCTGCAAAATTCGATTCCGCAGCGAGCCCTACGTCGATTCGCAGCATTTTCAACATCACAGCTTCTACCACGCCGCAGTGGCACGACTAGGCTTCTTCACAATGGCTCAAGACTGCTTGTCTGTCTCTTCACCGACGCACGATCTGCTGACGACTATGATACTTTTAAGCTGTGAGGTGAGCCAAAGGCACGGACTTGTCTTTATTGCGCAACCAGAGCCCGACACCGGGCGGCCGTCCGCTTGGGTGTTGAACGATCACACTCGCTTAGGTACTGCGGATCTTTCAAACTATCAACCGCGTCATACCTCCCTTCGATCACCACCCGGTGCGTGCGAAGGTTCTGGTCTACAATTCAGATATTACTTCGCCAGATCTACATATGATCACCGCAAGGCGTGCGAAGAGAGGACGACCAAACCCAGGTATCCGGCATCGTAGGAGTGTACTCCGCCTTCCACGCTGAAGACGGATAGCACAGCACGGATTACATGCTTCCGAACGGCAGGCTGTTGATCAGGCAAGGGTCATGGCAGGGGCGCCCTTGACGATAGAGCAAATTCGAGACCTTCAAACTGCAGACCTCAAGTCATGTGCTTCCCTTCGATCCTGGCATGACGGGAGCTCCGAGATCTAGAGCACAACGTGGGCGCTGGAATTCTCCGGGGAAGAGTAAAGACAAACAGTGCGGGCGAGCTGCCACAGGGTAAAATAAGCTTCGGTCCGTTTCTTAGCGTGGCTTTATCCCCAGATTGAAGGGAAACACTCAGACCGCGCCAGGCGAAGCGATGCCGCTAGTACTATTTCGTGCCAACAGCCTCGAAAGGTTCAAGATCCAATCGCAACATCATAGGTCAGATTTCGGGGTTGCCAGGCTTCTCCGTTGATCATGGCCAGATAGAGCGTTCTAGATAGGCGTCTTTCCCCAGGATCAGATTGGGCTATGCCTGTCCAGGCCACAATCAATGCCTCCAGGCTTACCAAGTCGAGCATTTTCAGGCTTACTTACTCATGGGGACTTGAAATCCGACATCGCCTAGAGGCTCTGCAGATGTGCTTCCAGATGCAGCGAGAGCAGGGTCCCCTTCAGAGCTAGAGATTCATCGGAGGCTGGCTGAAGAATTCTTCATCGTCGTCCTACAACTCACGTTTTCCTGTTTATGGCCATGGACGAGCCTTTGTGGCTTGAAGTTCTAACTCGACGAGGAAGAAGAGGAGAAAGATGGCTGTCGAGATCGTGCAGCTAGAGTTCAGCTCCTCATTTTTGCACTGCAACATACCGATAGCGTCGCTTCCACCGACCTCAAGGTGCCTAAGGGACTGAGTTCTAGAGCGACGCGAGAGGGTGAGGAGAGAATGATCTTGTCGTACAAGATGTATATAAGACGCTGTCGGGCGGCGTCTTGTTGTTTTCACCAGAGCACATTCTGCAGCATCTCCTCTATCGACTGAGCCTCCAACACTTGTACACTTTCACCATGCGCTTCAACAACGTAGCTGGACTTGCCCTGGGGCTCGCCATCCCCACTGGCGCCCTGTCTGTCCCTCGAAATGCAGCTCCTGAGCCTGCTGGCAAAATCGTTGCGCAGTTGTTCTGCGACATTGTCGGTGGTCTGGTCACTGTTGCAAAGCAACAGCCCCAAGCCACGAGCTTCTGTTCTTCTTACCTCAAAATCCCTGTAGTCACAAAGACTTCTACGGTGACTTCCTTCACTGCGTAAGCTGACACCACGTCCATCTCCACTGGCATGATCTTTCGCTTACAACACACAGTACCATTACGGCAACTGCAACGATCACCTCGGGATCGACCACGACCACCGATGCAACCAACACTATTACGGCCACTGATACTGCCACTGCAACGGCGTCTGCCACGATCACCGAGACGACGACAACAACCGAAACCATCAACACAGTCGCATACTCTTCAATCACTGCATGCGCATCCCCAGGAGCTGTACAGAAGCGGGGCGCTTATGTTCCCCCGAAGAAGCCTTCATGCTTCAACAACTACATCGAAGGCCAAGCCCTCTCTTCAGCATGCAAATGTCTTGCGGTGCCTACCTCTAGCACGACTACCACGACAACTTTGAGCCTCCCCACCACCATCACAACTTCAGTCACAGTAAGTCGCTACCAACTCTACCAATCCACATTGTTCGTTGCTAACCAACACCTCCCCCAACAGGTACCCCTGACTATCCTCGCAACCGCAACCAACACCGACACCGCGACCGTCACAAACACCATCACCAACACCGCGACCGAAACCTCCACAGTCACCGAGCGCACAACCATCATCACAGGCACCCAACAAGTCATCGCGATCCCCACCTTCACCGTCTACGCCATCGGCGGCGACAACAGCGGAAACCCCATCGCGGACGCCAGCCGCAACGTCCCCAACACCGTCGGCAACTCACGAGGCCTGAGCCCCGTCCTCCAGTTCACCACCGTCGACAACAACAAGCTGCAGGTCCTGAACGGGCCGTACGCCGGCTCCATCGGCAAGACGAATCCTAATGTAGGCGCGAGTGAAGCGTACGTCTTGTTTGGAAGAAACGATGCTGGGCTGCAGGAAACGGTTTGCCAGGTTACGTACAATGCTGCTGATGGGACGTGTCCGTTGTCCTGTGTGGCTGCGAGGGGAACGACGAGTTATGATTGTGGTGTTTATTGGAGGATTGCTGGGGATGCTGATGTCGGTGGTTGCTATAAGTTTACTCCTTATGCTGTTGGTGGGCCTTAGATCCTGGCTACAGTAACTTCTATATGACAATCGCAGTGGGAGAAGAAGGGTGGTTGGTTTTATAGTAATAGTACTATTACACGATATACAAAATCTACACACAGAACCTCTCTTCAATCGCCAAAGCAAAAAGCGAAAGAACGCTCCTCTGTTATACGACAGCGAAGCCAACAAGCGAGGCCCGGAATCAATCGTAGCCAAAGCTTCCAACCATCCCCCGTAAAAGAAATCGAAAAAAACATACTAAAAGGCAGAACCGGCTGACACAAGTATATACAAAACGAGAACCATCTGCACAAATACCCAGTGTCTCAAACTAGATAGCAGTGCGCTGATTACGATGCGAGTAATCACCGCGTTTAGCAATGGCTCCGTTTTCACACTTTGTGCCTTCAGCCACGGGGATCATGATAACCTTGCCGTGGTCGCAGAGACCGAACTTCGTTCCGTCGGACGAACACACGACAGCGCCGTCGGGGGAGCAGGTTTCTTTGTCTGAGCCTGGGTTTGCGGGTGCGGGTGAGGCGGGTGCGCCTGATGGTGTTGGTCTTAGAGGCGCGACGGGCGATGCTGCTGGAGACTGGCCGGTTGGTTGGGGCGCTGGAGCTGCGGCGGGGGTCGTGCCCGTACCGGCTGCTGGATTGGGTGGGAAGACGCCGTCGGTGTTTGTTGGCATTGGCGCTGTGACCGTTACGAGCGTGCGGAGGGTGGACTCGGCAGGCTTGGGCTTGGGTGAGCAGGCGGACTTGGTGCCAGACGGAGCAGCTGGCGGAGCGGGAGGGGGGCTTACTGGAGCTGGGCTAGCGGCAGATGGAGGCGTAGCAGCGGGTTGGTAGGCTCCTGAATCCGGGGAAGGACTGGCAGCTGGAGGACTGGCGACTGGAGCACCAGCGTCGGCATTGCCGCTGCCACCACCAGCATCAGCACCGCCGGTGCTGGGTTGCGAAGTTGCGCCAGTGCAAAGATCTACGAAAGGGCCTTTGCCAACAGACTTCACATACTTTCCTGGGTTCTGGAATGTGAAATCACTGCTCTCTTTTGTCGTACCGCAAGACTGCGGGACTGGGATGTTTGCGACTGCCATGTCGGGGAGAGCATCGAATGCAGTTGTGTCGTCGGCACCGCCAGAAACCGTAACAGGCGCACAGTTCATGTACATCTCGCGGTTTCCAATCTTGTTGAACCACGTCCACGCTGTTGTCATGACACCGTTAGGAAGCTCTGGGGGGATATCGAACTTGAAGGTATTGTCGAGGCTGGGACCAAATTCATCCAGGTTGGCTTCTGCAGACACAGGGCAGCCACCCTCGATGGAGTAGATAACTTTCCACACGGAGTCCTTTGTAGGCTCCTTGTCGGTGGTGACGCTGATCTGGCATGAGCCTCCACCATGGACAGCTGTACCAGTGAATGCGAGAGTCTGGGATGAACCGACCTTCCATTCGTTCATGGTGTTCACTGTGTACGGTACGGCCTTGCACGGAAAGTCGGAACCGCTAGCGTCGAGAGGTGAATTGTTGGGATTGCCGTATGGCACGGGACTCTTGAGAATCATGTGTGCGTTTGCAGAGAGCGGGGCCATGGCTAGCATGGCTGCCGCAGCGAGAATGGTCGACTTGAAAGACATGGTGTTTCCTAGACCAGCTGAGGGGTGTACCGTATAAGTCGAAATGTTGGTTCGGATGTCTGGAATCGAGATATGTCTTGTCAAAGACTTGTCGCAAGTAGTTCTTGGAAGAGTAAAATGAAGGTCTCGTAGAGTTGCGTAGTTGGTATGAATGTCGTGCTCGTATTTGCGATGAGTTGTGTAGGAAGAATAATGAGAGTCTTTAGTAGGCGCGATGGTAAGGACCGTGGCGGCGTTGTAGAGTCATAACACAACAGCCTTAGTAATACGTAATGTACAATAGCTTCACAATGAGACAAAGCCTGGAGATTATATACTTGATGCTGGGAGGTGAAGGTGAGTATTCAACGTCTCCCGGCGAATTAGCGCGCGCCATCGTTGCGCCAGCGCTGTGACCGTGAGTTCTTGATGAAGACTGCAGATGCCTGAACAGGTACAAGAAACCGCGGAAGGCCCACCGAAGACATGTACTTCCTACCTTTCTTGTTTCATGAAGTGCACTTGATTGGGTATCCAGCCATGATAGACCCTAGATCCGTAGAGATATAGCTGGGATGCACAGCGGCAAGAAATATCCTGGTGGAGACCGTTAAGCGCCACTAGTTACCCAGGCGGAAGGAAGGCATAACGCGTTTCAGATTTTCCAACTCTTGCCATCCATACTCCGCTCCCAGGAAGCGAGTCTAGAGCTCGTGTGACTGAAAGACTTCGGGCACGTGGGAATGGTGATCTGATGAATGTGTATGAATTGAGGGTGTTCATGGGTTGTAGGGCGCTGTGCCGCAACAAAACGTTCATAATGCGCAGTGATTGGTACATCGATGGTGTATTCTGGTGCATCAAGGGTATTGTGATGCATCGTGAAGTGAGCAGGCGGACTCCCGACGTCGGGACGTGAAGGGTAAGGGAAAGAGCGCGTGGAGCCCTGAGGACCTTGGGACGCTTGCGGACTAGCGGGTCTTGGCAACGTTAGCTGGACCGCAACCGCGAAAGCATCCGTCACCAGCCAGGGACGCGCAAAAGCAGTCGCAATTCGAACGGACTTCCCTATCGGTCGCAGTGCAGGGGTAATCGCGAATCGACCAGCCTTCTGACGGACCCCGTGACCCATTCGCCGCATTCGGAGGCCCCGTCGACATCGCGACGCGTTTAGTGTTCGCGAGCTCTGCTGAGCTTCCTCACATCTCCTACACGACCATCGACCGTGTCAACAGCCATGTTTACGAGTACGGGAAAGACGGCGCCGCCCCAGGCCTTCATGTCGAGTTATGCGCCGCGACTGCGAAGCCACGGAAACTCGCTGATATCGCCCATTGTTCCGCCTTCGAATACCCTCCCTGCGCCGCGCGTGACAAAACGCGGGACTGCCGTTCTCAGCTATGCGGAGGATGCCTACGATGATGACGATTTCGAGGATAGCGATCGGCCGCGACGTGCGACGGGCCTGCGAAGCGTACAGAAGATCGACCCGAACAGCGCAGACCACACGGCGCAAATAGCAGCGCTGGGCGAGGAGCTCACTGCGCCAGTCGATATACAGGGAATCTGGCGGGATTGGATGGGCAGGCCGAAGCGCACACTGTATGTGGCATGGTGGCAGGATTAAGCCATGGGACGCATCTCGCAATAGAAGGCTAACACACTGCAGTACGGAGAAGCAAGTCCAGACGCAGTCAGTCTTGCCTGTCACGTTGATTCCGATCCGGATAGACATGGACATTCAGGCTTTCCGGCCTGAGGCACCGCTCCCGACGCCCTCCAACGCGCGCGAGTTCGGCATCAACGAGAATTTACCTGCATACAAACAACCCGACGTCACTCCCGCATACAGACTCAAGGACTCGTTCCTTTGGAATCTGCACGAGGCTTTGACGACACCCGATCAATTCGCGAAGCAGTTCGTCGATGAACTAGATCTGCCAAACGACCGAAAGCCCCTCATAATCTCCCAAGTCGCAAATCAGATTCGACAGCAGCTGGAGGAATATGCCGGTGTTGCGCTACACCCTCTATTCCACTCTGCAAACTCGCCCGCTGTCCAGGGAACAAACGGCAAGACCGCACTGCCTGCATCATCCCGCGATGGCACCTCAACACCACAAGTACCAGCCACGAACGGCGCGTCGACCCCTATGACCAATGGCGTATCGCATACCAATGGCGCACAGACGCCAGCGGGCATTCCAAATGGCATCAGCGCAACTGCGACCGCAATGCCGTCCGAAGAGCTTCACAACCCAGACGATACCTACCGCTGCATCGTCACCCTCAACATCAACCTCATGAACCGATTGTACACCGACAAGTTCGAGTGGTCACTATTACATCCACCAGGTTTCGCGGAGATGTTTGCTAAGACGACGTGCGCGGATCTGGGGCTATCGGGAGAATGGGTGAACGCCATGACACATAGCATCTACGAAGCAGTCCTGCGACTTAAGAAGGAAGCCTGCGAGAATGGCGGTTTGGTGGGCGATGGCGAGATCGACAACGATGCAGTGGAGCCTACTATTGGTGCAGGTTGGAGATACGACCAAGAGCATCTCTGCGACGAATGGGAACCGAAGGTGGAAATCTTATCACCTGAAGAAATCGAGAAGCGCGAGGGGGACCGTGAAAGGCAGATCCGACGACTACGCAGAGAGACAGCGCGCTTCTCCTCGACCGCAAACATGACGGGCCAACCCGCCAACGAATTCTTCAACAACATCGAAGGACAAGAGAACATGGGCCGCGGCGAGCGCAGCAAAAAGAAGAGACGATTCAGGAGTTTGAGCCCAGTTGGAAGAGGCACGCCAAGCGCCGAAGGAGGATCCGGCTATGGCGGGCAGGGTGGAGGGCTTCAAGAAGGGTATGTGACAATACTGGCATTGTGCATTGTGATATTGGAACTAACAACAACCACAGGGAGCGACAAACATGGAGATGCGCACACTGCTGGGTCTGGGGAACTGCCGTCTGGGCTGTTCGCGACGGTCCAAAAGGCCCACGCACCCTCTGCAACAACTGTGGCTACCTCTACGAACGAGACAAGAAGTTGCCGCCTTGGTCGGAAAACCTCTTCTACCACGAACGGCCACAACATGAAGTCCAACAGTACCGACCACAGCGGTGATAGACTTGCAGTCGTCTATGAAGGGGTTTACTTCATCGGTGTTAGGGGTTCAGCCTGGATCGCAGTTATCCATCCGAACGGCATTTCTTTTCCGTTCCTGGACACTGCCGGTGGGTGTTTGATGTTCTATCGCATTTCATGGAGCGTGGCGTCTTGGGCTCGACATCGTGTTCATCACGACAGCAGGGCTTGTAAAACAACGTACCTTTCTTGTTCCTTACGGATTGCAGCATAGTGTTGCCTAATTGGCTGGGTTCA